CCGATGATATCAATATCTATGTAGTTTTCTTTAGGAACACTGAATTTCCGTTAAAAATAAATAAATTTGAAATTATTATTAYTAGAGTAGGACACAATTATTTTAGTTATATAATTTTAGGAACTGATTATGCAAAATAATTTTGATGGGCTTTTAGCTATTTTCGTAACTTTACCAAAAGTTTGAATATACAAACATAAAAACACCTGCAAAGCAAACGACATTCACATTAAAAAGAATTCAGATTCAAAAATATACTAAAATCAAAGAAATGTTTGTTCACTACCCAAATAATTTTTGGCAAAAGTCATGCTAATAATAATACCCAGCATATAAACACCTGAAACCGTTAAGATGCCGTTAACACCGCAAAGTGTCTTGACATTAAAACGCACCTACTTCCGCTCAAAATTCCATAGCCATCCACAGCATTCACCTACTAATGCATATTCCACTTTACGACTGTCACAACGATAACTGTACAAAAAAAATTAAAATTTTTTTTTTTACCAAATTCTCTATTCACAACCCGCGCTGCCGCCGCCGCTGCTATAAACCATGCTTTTTCACGCCCCATCGAAACCAAACCACCGTGAAACGCTAAATGCTTTCCGCYATTTGAATCGACTGTGCATTTCCCAACCGTCGCCGTGCAATCGCAGGAGTTGCCACACCATCGCATCATACGCAATATTCGCCGCTTCTTTGCTGAGGTGGGCGAAAATCATGAGCTTAGAGAGCGTACCATTGAAGATATGCTGCTGGCGCTGCCCACCGCCTCGCGTTCGATGAAGCCCACCACGCAGCCGCGGGAGGACAACAGGGGTCGACGCAATGTCAATGCGTCGAACGCCAAACGACGCGGTGGACGTCAAACGGGTCGTAAGAGTGGTCGCAAAACGGCAAAGGAGTCGGATGATGAGGATACGGACGAAGACAAANATTTGAATCGACTGTGCATTTCCCAACCGTCGCCGTGCAATCGCAGGAGTTGCCACACCATCGCATCATACGCAATATTCGCCGCTTCTTTGCTGAGGTGGGCGAAAATCATGAGCTTAGAGAGCGTACCATTGAAGATATGCTGCTGGCGCTGCCCACCGCCTCGCGTTCGATGAAGCCCACCACGCAGCCGCGGGAGGACAACAGGGGTCGACGCAATGTCAATGCGTCGAACGCCAAACGACGCGGTGGACGTCAAACGGGTCGTAAGAGTGGTCGCAAAACGGCAAAGGAGTCGGATGATGAGGATACGGACGAAGACAAASRCGAATATGATAGTGATGAGGATTAGATTAGCTTGGCGAGGGGTTTTGRGCTTGCGAAGAAATATTATAGCGTTTTGAAATTTTGTCCGCTTWACATAAATCACAATATGAAATTATAATTAATTAAAATAAATTTTTGCTGATAACCAACCAAAGAAGGTACTATTGTATATATGCTTATGAAAATAAGGAGGGAACAGGATTTGCACACAGTAAATGAAATATAAATATATATTTTGTATTTTGAATWTGTAAATCTGTTGTTGAACCGATATGCGTCAGTTGTAAATATGTTTTTAAATTTTTCGTTTTTTTAACCTTTGTTTGATAAGTTTGCATGGAATTTTCATTTTTAAACTACTTGCTAATAATATCTAAATTAACAACACTCTGTTACAAAAAACGACTTTTTTCTGGGTATTGGACCAAATCAAATTTTTTTCGCGTAAATTGAGGCATGTKTAAAAAATGAATCTCGCCATTTTTCGAAGTTAGTCTCAAATTCTAGATATTTGTCTACGAAATTAGGCTCATTGAGAATTATCATTATTTATTTTAGTGTAGTAAATAGTTACTAAAAAATTAAAAAGACGGACATAATCTACATTTTCCTTCTATTTCAATGTTGCATAACATTTTTCGGTCTAGCTTATATGATAGTTGTTATGTGGGATCAAATTTGGACCTCGGAAAAAAAAATAAATATTGTTTCAATATTATTGATTGAATATATTATATTGCATTGGAATATGAAGAAAACATTGATGATATTAATTAAAAAAGTTTTCTGTAAGTTCAATTTAAAAATCCGAAGGGAAAAATTTTGGTATTGGAAGCTCACTCACGAAAAAATTGTGTCATTACTATCCCCAAGCACAAAAAGTTAGTTTGATTGAATACCCATCTGAGTGTAATTAGTTGGATAGTTCTAATATTACTTTGGGTCACTTATCTAGCATCACATTTATCTAATATCACTTAAAATAGCAGGGAGATCAGAGTTAGGTTGTTAAATATAGCCTTTTTAATACCAGATACACACTTTTGCGATTGGAAATTAACTCTTGACAAAGCGCCTTGAACGTGTCAAAAATCTTTTCAGGTGCTTGTATGAGATCCGAGACATATTAATCTTCATCTGGCAAATGCGTTACTTTTGAGTGGTATTGAATAGTATTGATATGACTGTTAAATATTATATATCGAAAACGTATTGAAAACTTGAAAATATGTTACAAGACCATAGGTTAATATGAGGGTGGTAATCYGACAGTTTGAGCGTGATAAAAAATAAAAAGTATTTGATATTTGCTGTTGTCAAAAATTATTCCCAAGGCTTTTTTGATGACTGAAAAGTGAACAGGACTGAAAAAAAAAAAAAAAACAGAACAAATGGTTCTTCAGGCAAATTAGTTTATTTTATTCATTTGGAATGTTGGATTCTGAGCAATTTTTGGTCGTTAGTTAATTTGTGCGGAACAAACCGTGCACACACCTTTCGTAAACCAAAATGTTCGATCAAAATACGATAAATGGATGTTTTGAAGAAGATAAATTCCATTTTACTGAATTTCAAAGATGATTTCTGCTGATTTTTGCTGAATTCACCCATTGTTTCCATGGAATTTCCGGTGATCGCGGATTTTGATTGGCTCGTCATTTATGTCCTCACGACAACTTTGAAAACGTTGAAACCACTCGTGCGCTCTGCTACGAGATAGGCAATCATCGCAATAATCTAACATTCTGACACAAAAATGTTGATTATGAAACAAAACAATGTG